CTGTCTAGTACCACAACTAGTCTAGCATGATCCTGAATAATTCTGTTGCACTTATCTTTCAACTAAATGACACCTTTATAGGGGAGGGGGATTAAGGCAGGTAGACTGGAGTCCAGAAGATGGTATTCAGGGGGCCAGGTATAGGTTCTATGTATTTCAAAAATTCTTTGAAAATGTTGACTGTCTAATGATAAGACTAAATACTTTTACATACTATATTTGCTCTGCATGTTTAAGACCACATGAATTCCTGTCTGAAAATTCAGACAAAATGTGGATGTTTAAGAGACTATAAAATATTATTCGGTGTAGTGACAAAGTTCTCTGTCTTAATTCCTAGATAAACATTGAACAGACAGTATTTAATTTTTTTGCAATATTTATAATAGTAATTTTATTATGATTTTCTTGATTATTTTCTGTGAAGAAGCAGCTGTAGGATGGAAGTAAATGTCAGATCCAAAGGCTTATTTGATTAAACTATGGCAACAGCATTAATCTTCCAAAGGAAATCAAGATAATGGAGGGGTCTGGATGGACCAGGAAATTGATAATTGGTTATAAAGCTTTTGACCTTTGAGCTGGTAGTTCAGATTCAAGCTAAGTCAGTAATGACTGAAAATCATTACTCTCTGATAGGAGTGCAATTGCTATGTGAAATCAGTGATTGGTTTCATTCCAGTTCCTAGAGAACCGATACATTGCAAAAATAGCTACTCCCATTGTCAGGTTTTGAGGAAGAAAAGGAGAAGAAAACTTCTTAACTTTCTTAACTTTGTAAGTATTTTGGAAGGTAAGGGGTGGGAGAAACGGCAGTCCATTGGCACAATGCCATCGACATTGCATCAACAGCTACCATCAGGCTCTTGTTAAGAAATTAAACCCTCTATATTCTTGTTTTGTCCACATGACACATCTCACTGACCATAATAAAAGAGGAAGTTTTGTGTGTGATACTACTCTGTACACATTTATAAAGATATTGCTCATTCAAAATTGGATTGTTTTCACTATTTTTCTTAGGAAAGAATGTGAGGCAATGGAAGTTTTTTTGCCTTTTTTTTTTTTTTATTTTCATTTTTAATTCACAGATAACTGTTAATGAAGTAGTTTATGTGAATCTATTTGACCTTGGAATTTTGCTTGACCTCTTTTGAGTCAATGAATGACTCATAACTGAACTGAGTTGCCAAAGATTTATAACTCCTTCTCTGTGTCGATTGTGTTCTTCCTCCTTAATTGGATGACCTGATGTTAATAATTAATGCCACCTGAAACCAGTATCTGTAAGAAATAATTTAGGTTGCTGGCAATCTCAACAACACCAGAGAGTCATATTAGAATATTGGAGCATTATGGACTTGGCAGTGCTGGGCTAATAGCTGGACTTACCTATCTTAAAGGTCTTTTCCAACCTAAACAATTCTATGATTTGTCCTTCTCTTACTCTTCTGAGTAAAACTTAGTTATTTTCATTGTCTCCTTCACCATCCATTTCCTTTTAACTGTAAAGAATGTGGCAAGTTGCTCACACAGGCACACTTCCTGATTTTTTTTTTTTCAGTTTCCCTGTTTTTTCAATAGGTTTTGGTGTCCTCAGCAAAGCAGGAGGATGTTCTATTGCTTCAGTAAGCTCATATTGCCATGCCCTTTATATGATTTATGCTTAATTTAATAAGTAATAATGTATTTATTCTTGCCTATTTCACTATTACCCTTTCTTCTAAGTGCCTTTAAATTTATAGTTTAACTGTCTATTATGTATTGTCACTGTAAAGTAGTTAGGTTCTTTTTCTTTCATATGCATCCCCCCCCTTCCTCACCTGAAACTGCTCCCAAGTCCCCAGCATTTAAAGTATAATTAATCCCTCTCTCATTTTTCTGTATAGTTAGTCCAACTAGTAAAGTTGACTAGCAGAGATTTTTGTGTAATGTTTAGTTCTATAGTAAAAAAAACACAGGAAAGAATAAAAATGGACCATTTAAAACTCGAGTAATGTTCATGTTTTTTATAAAAAATATATTAGAAGATACTGATTCAGAGATTGCTACTTTGTTCTTTCCATGGAGAGAAAACTGTTTTAGAAACCCATTGGATTTGTGTAGGATCCTACTGAATCCTTTAAGACGTGTCTTTGTAAAACACAAAGTACTAAATTGTGCACAAATATGATCATTTCATAGCGTATACTGTTGGTTGTTTTAGTGCAATGGGTGCATCTTGCTTTGACTGCCAGCAATGTCAGGAAATAGCCTTCATCTACTGCAGGCAGAAGAAACAGGGAAAATGCAGGGGTGGATGCAAAGTCTTACCCTGAAGTGCTGCAGTCCATGAAAGCTTTATTACTGAATTCTGCTTCAGGAATCTCAGAGTTCAGCAAAGGAGGTAGTGCTGCTTGTTTGAATACTGATTTGTGAACGAGTAAACATGAAAACATTATTAGCTGTACGTTGTTGCATAATTGTTTTGGAAAGCGTATTTATCAAATAAGCCCATAAGGAAATGTTGTTCTTTACAAAACTGGCTATTATGATTTTGAAGAGAGGTTAAAAATTATGTGGCATTCTTGTTTTTCTGGTGTGTGTTTTGTGTAAACACACTAGTGCAGTAAAATGTAAAAATAAGAATTTTGACAAGTACAGGGAGAAGTAAAGGTTAAAAAAAGCTTTTAGTGCATGATCAAGTTCTTTTTGAATGACTTTTTGTGTGGGGCATAGCCCCAAATTTCTGTCTTAAACAAAACCCTTTTGCTCTTGAAGAATAAATGTTGATGTAATGGGAATTTGGAGGAAGAAAAAAAAAAAAAGTAGTCCCAAATGCCAGCTTTGTAAATATGTCCAAGATGGGAATCATTGCCTTCATTAGCAGTTGTGATCCACCTATCCCCCACTGAGTGCGAGAGGGCACAGACAGAAAAACACCGAACTTCACTCCACATACAAAACTAAAAGAGAGTAAGGAACTATAATTTCACGTACTACAAGTGAGGTGACTTCTTCACTGGTTTTACTGTGAAAAATATCTGTAAATGAAAGTGAATCATATTTCACCAAGTATTTCACCAAGTATTCTTTATCACTTGGTACTTCCTGCAGTTTCAGGGATGATAACAATCCTGATAGCTTTAACTTAGTGTTGTAAATGTGTTCGAAAAGTTTTCTGAAAGCAAATATATTCCAGTGTACTCAAATAGAACTGTAGTTTCCAGTCAATCTCAATTTCAATGATTAATGCAAACTGTATATTACAGTTCTCATGCTGTACTTTTCCTCCAGCTAAGTAAACAGGTTATTTGCAGAAAAGATTTTTCAAATTTAATCAATGCAACCGAGAAAAAATCGATAAGGTTTACAAAACCACTCCAGTCCTTATTTGCAGTAAGAATCATTGTGATTGCTTTCTGGTTGCCAATGTTTTTAGTAAGAGGTGCCAAGCAATAAATAACTAGGGCTGTCTGCTGCATGTTAAGAATATTTTTAAGGAAATGGTAACTTGCAGTGCTAACACCAAAAAGCTGGATTCTTATTTGGTTTTTTTTTTTCCTTGACATTCTGAACTTATTTATTTATTTTTACCTCAACCAACTCCAGACTCCTGCAATGTATATAGTTCTGAAGACATGCTTCAGCTGCTGTTTTGAACTGATACCAAGGGTTATTAAGCCATAAAGTTAATATTGTTGCTATTAAATCCAGTAACACAAAGAACTAACACTGAGAGAAAGCAACTTGTTTTGCTTTGAATTTTTTATTTTCTATTAGTGATTTCTGGGATATGAGAAGCTTGTACACTGTTAGGATTCTTCTTTTCTTAGAACGTTATTTTTTGGTTTGTGAGTTTGTTTTTTATTAGGTATACTACATTTTAAAGCGTAATTTAGCATAATTCACTTGCAACTTCTGAGTTGGTGCATTTCTAAAAGCCTTAATTTAATATAATCCAGTTGTTTACTACAGAGTGGGTATTATGTGTCTCTTTAGTAACCCCTTATCTTGAATAAGAACACTGCCTGGAGTGTGAAAGAAAGCAACCAGATAGTCACCAACTTAGCTGTTTGTTTTCCCTTGAGTTTTATCTGCTTTTATAGTTTTGTATCTGGATGCCATCTCTCTCTTAATATTCCTCCAGTCTTAGGTTTGGACTCACATGGTTTTTAATTTCCTTTTTCTCTTCCCTCCTATTTTTTTTCTTTCTGTCCATTCATAAAATCCAATATGCAACAAATGAATGAAAAATAAAAATAGCAAAGAACTCTCCAAGTTTTAGTCCAATTATAGTAATAGAAAACATTTTCTAACGTTTGTTTATTTGTTTGTTCCCCCTAATCATCTAAACATTAGATTAGGTCCAAATAAGAATGTGTCTCAGAGCTGCGATTGATACTAGCTCAGGATGGGCTGGTTATGGAAGTTGCTTCTCTTAGTTATAGAGTTGCACTTATGAAAAAAGTTACCATCCTGCTATATATGATACTGATTTATACCATTATAGTAGCGACAAAATTGACTGCAAAACTGTTGTGAAAAGAACAAATCATTATATGTGATGTCCCTAGCTTGTATTATCGCTCCTTCATCCTTTTCAAAAGAAGTCTTTGTATGTTTATTTCCATGCTGTGATGAATGATAGGTAACACAAAGGAAAGCCAGCCAAGGCAATGCATACAAATCAGACATAATATGATGTTCTGCAGTAATGCCTACTGGCAGTAAAGTCCCACAAGTTTCAGACAGCTACGGAACATGAACAATTTAATTCTGAATGTTTGTTCACTGGAGTCCATCAGCTTGAAGGGGTATCTGTGTCATGCTCCTTGTCCTGTCATACTCACACAACAGGCACAGAAAAAATGCTGTTTGGTGGTCTGGTAATATATTTTTTGATAGACTGAGATTCCTAATAACATAAATCACTACCCTTTTGCAGTTATTTTTTTCATTCTCGTGAGAAAAAAATAATTGACAATGACGATTTAACTCTTGTTTGTCTTTTACAGGCTTTAGTGACCCAATCAGCTGAGGATTGTGGTGAATGAGGCCATCTAAGGGCTGAACTTCACTTATGTAAGGTCTTGGAAGATGTGGCATCATATTCTCAGGTAGATTTTTAAAAAACTCTGTAGATGTCTCTGTCATCTCAAAGAGATCCATAATAATTGGGATGAATTTATTGTGTTAAACCTGATAGATTCAATTCTCACTTTTCAGTTGGTGGAAATGTTTTGTTTGTTTGTTTGTTTGTTTGTTTTATATATTAAACATAATTTAGCTTTAGGCCCATGAAACTGAGCTCAGGAAATCCAGGATTCTAATTATCCTTGCTGCAAATCTCATAAAAAATACTTGATTCAGTCTAGAGCTTGCACTGCTACTGACCAATTGATTATTTACAAAGACCGATGTTGTATGTTACCTTTTTTAGACTATTTCAATTTAGATGTAGATTGGAGAAAATAAAAGTACCTTTACAGTCTGTTCTGTACATCTTAAAGGAGAGAAACTAATTTTCTCCCTGAGCTTTGTTTTCATGATGCTGTTTTTCTTGTAATTGCACAGTGTTATTTTTGTCAAATGGTCTTTGTCTCCTTTCAAAGGCATACCTTAGCAAAACCTCTTTCACAGGGGCCAGAAACAATGCCATAAATTTCCTCATGTTTATTAATACGCTACTGTCTACTTCAATTGTTGCTTATGGAATGTACTATAAATTGGTTTTACCATATTCTTGACTTGATACTGGGGATGACAAAAAAATCAGTTAGAGGTAGGTATGAATTTTATAACTTTAAAGTTAATTATAAAGTATTTTGAGGTAAAAGCCTAAATGAGTTTGAGATGCAGTCTCCCAAAGATGGCAACAGTTGGTGAATTTTTGGGGTTATATTTTATTTTTAGTAATTTGGTCTATGAAGCACTGTACACTGGAGAAAAAAAGCACAGGTAACATGAAATGATGAAATGCAGTAATGTTTCATATATCAGTTTGGTTGAATTCTTGCTCCAAACTCTCATTTACAGAACGAGAAATATCTAGATGCCTATTGTCTTCTGATGAACTTATACAGAAAAGACAAAAGCTGTGGAGAGTTAAAGGTGGTTGCAGTTTTATTTCAGGGAAAATAAAAACCTGTTTTACTTTTTAGAAAGATAATTGATAGTTTCTCTATAATAAGACATTGTTCTGCTCAAATTCCATTTTAAGCACACTTGATTTCTATGGATAATGTACTTTTATGCTGCCCAGTGTCGTTGTGTGGCTGAATACTAAAATAGGTTCTTTTACATGTAGCTGCGCTTTGGTAATTGCATGATATATCTTATGTAAATATTTAAAGATTTGAGGTGTATTTTGGCCATAAATTTCTAATGAAGTCTTCAGATATGAAGTTGGAAGTGTCTGGATCCTAATATTTTTGCTCAAATTTTCTTTCCTGGTTGTTCTTTGGGACAAAGAGCAAAATGCACTTTTCAGTCATGCATCTTCTCATAGCAAACTCTGGGTTTCTGAGTAGCGAAAAGGAATTAAGAAATTTAGATTATATTACAGTGACTCTGCCAAATATATGAAAAGAACTTCTCTTATTGTCAATGCGATCACCACTTGTTATCTTGACTGGGCCTGCTGGAAATGCGCCAAAGGAACTTGGGATGTGACTATCACTTCTGCTTTGCAAAATGATTTTTGGATTATATATTCCCATGCACTTTGCCTTTAATTTTTTTTTTTTTTGACACCTGGATTGTCATTAAATTGCATATTGTTTCAGAGCACTTAGGTGGACAGTATGAGAATGTCATGAGAGGGATAATAGAGACCAAGCAATCTAGAATGATTTTATTAATTTTTTTTTTTGAAATTTGATACATCAGCACTGAGTAGAATATCTTCTGAGAATGCCTGTGTGTGGACAAAGATGAATCTTGGCATGCTTGGCATTTTAGTTTTTATTGATAATAAGTTTGTACTCTCACTTCATTTAGTATGAAATAAAATTTTAAACTACAGGATTATAAAATTAGAAACAATTAAAAATCTGTATCAACTTTTCATATGGGTTGGATAAGCCTATATGTTTTTGACAAGTTTATATTGATATAAATATCAATATACGTGCATACAAGTAGAGAAGTGGAAATCAGCATATTAATGAACACTTAATAGAGAAGTGCAATGGTTCGGACCTGGCTTCCTGCCAAATGCCCAAACTCACAGTAACAACCCCTTCCCCCTTCCTTCTTCCCTTAGGGCAAAGGAAAAAAAACTATAAAAATTGAAGAACCCAAAATCTAACTAGTTATATAAAAATATATATTTTATGTATATTACAGTTATATGCAATTAAAGTACTATGTACACAACGAAAGGAATCCAAACACCCCCCGAAGGGAAAGGGGAAAAAGGGGACAAAAAGGGACACAGAACAGATATACACAATCAAACTCAAGAACTAGCAAAATAACTAGCAAAACAAATCTCACCACATCCCTCAGAAAAGCAAGATTGCCAGACACAGCCAGCACTCTCCAAACCCCTGAGTGGCAGACCAGCAGTCACTGCAGGCCTCAGCCGCTACATAAGTGAGACCAACGCAAGGACCCACTGCTCCTGAAGCTTACCAGAAGAGAAGACAGTGAAGTCCTCTCCTTCCTTCTAATTTATACCCTGGTTTACATAAAAATCATATGGAATACTGGGAACATGGCCACTTCCTTGGTTACAAACAGGTCACCAAGGAAGGCCTAGATTAAAACTATCACAAGAGGTATTAGAATAACAAAAATCTATGAATTCACCTCATTCAAAATTATTTTAAGGGCTCAAAGGTTTATTTTAGCTATATAAATTTCTGCTGTGATGAGAAAAATAAGCTCTAGATTTGTGAACTTTGAGGAGCTAAATGGATAAACCAAACATTAAGTAGCTGTCAGCTTTGTTCCTCACAGCCCATTCCTTCCCTTCCTTTTCATTCTGAGTTTTTGCAGCGGAACATGCTGATCGAAAATGTGCATAGCAGGCAACAATCAAGGTCATCATGGTATCACACAGCCCAGAAAAACAAGAGTGATAAACAAGGGGGAAAAAAAAAGTCTTTTGCTTGGTTGTGGGACAACAATCCATAATTTATTTTGCAGATGTTTGTAATTTAAGCAGCAGGCAGAACAACCGCACAGTTGTAGATGCTCAGGGGAAAGGATACCCAGAGCCTCGTAAATCATGGTAAGGATTAAAAGCAATGAACATTCATCTTCTTAACCACATAAAGCGGTATTGCAAAGCCAAGGATTACAACTTACTGTGCATGTAATCTTCATTCAGGGATAAAGGGTGTCAACTTTTTTAAAAGCTTCTCTCAATTAACAGTAGCACTTACCTTTTGGAAGGGAAAAAGAAGTTTTAAAACTGATCTTAAAAGAATTTCTGGTATTCAGGAAATACTTAACATTTCCCATAAAAGAAGAGAAAAAAAAGATGAGTTCTTGCTGAGCCTATTTTTTCTAAGACCTGATCTATTTTTTTAATGTTAATATTTATAAATATGTTTTTAAAGTTTGCTTAATAGGCACAACATAAAAAACCCAACTTACCTTTTCCATTGTAAAATGGGGTGTCCTGAACAAGCTTTTGCCTTTGATTCAATTCACCTACTTTTTCAAGTATAAATATTTGACTCAAATACTCACTGTGATTAAAGAATAACCTCAAAATGAAAAAAACATAGCATGTATTCAGGCTGCTAAATAAGTACTGTAAAGCCTGCATTTATCTGTTTACTTTGGAGATGTTGCTAGTATATCTGTAAATTAGTTTTAACTTATCCACCACTGTGTTAAAAATATTTTACTTCCATACTCAGAAAGCAAGTGTAGAGCGACTGAAAACATTTGAAAGAGAAAGGAATGTATATGATGTCATGAGGAGGTCCTTTCATAGCATAGCAGACCAAGAAAATTGGGGAAGCAAGACTTACCATTTAAAAAAACCAAACACTTGATATGCAACTTGAAATTATATACATTTCAGTTGGGCAAAGAAATGTAGGAAAATATTGTTCAGTAGAGTCCTGTACTGCATCTGTGACTATGGTGGTGGTCAACTTTCAATATGTACTAGGATGAAAGCAAAGCCTTAAAACTTCTAGAACTCAAATCCATTCCACAAATCAAATTAATCTGTGGCCTAGTTTTATACTTTTTAATGGTATCTTGATACAGTTCAATACTTTGAATATGTGGCTTCAGCACCTCAGAACAGCTGTGCTCTTGAAAACTATGAAATTTTGTATCTATTGGGTTTTTAAAAAGCAAGAGTATGTATGTATGGCAAGATAGGTAGACTTAAAGACAGTCTCGGAATTTAAATGATGTTTTATTTGGTAGCTAGTATTATTATTTCAGGGAGAATTTTCTTTCTCCCTTTTTAATTGTTGATTTGTTTATTCATTTTATTTTCAGATCAAAATGTGTTCTACTTCTTTGATGTTATGCTTATTTATTTATTGCCTCAACCTTTATAATATGACAAAATTTTTCTAATGACATTGGGTAAGTGGATGAAAAGACCGCAGTCCTGAAAGGCCTGTGCTGCTGAAACATCTTTTCTGCTGGGGAACACTGCTCTTCTGGCCATTTATTTACAGATTAAAAAATAATACAAAAAATAATATTCATTAATCAGATTTAAAATTAGTGCACCTTTGAATAAAAATGCTGCAATGTTGAAGAATGTTGTTCCTGAGAGATGTCCTTCAAATTATATTTTCCTCTTTTATGTCCTTTAGGCAAGTCATTATTGCTATCCTACAGAATATGTATACCAGATAGTGTACACTGAGAGGACATTGACTTGTTGGAGCAAGTCCAGAGGAGGGCCACCACATTAATTAGAGGTGATGGAGCAACTCTTCTGTGAGGAAAGGCTCAGAGAACTGGATTTGTTAAGCCTGGAAAAGAGAAAGCTTTGGGGTCACCTAATTGTTGCCTTCCTGAAGGGAGCCTATAAAAAGATGGAGACTTCTTACAAGGATATGTATGACAGGACAAGGGGGAATGGCTTAAAACTGATAGAGAGTAGGTTTAGATTAGTTATTAGGAAAAAAATTCTTTACTATGAGAGTGGTAAGGCACTGGAACAGGTTTTCCAGAGAAGCTGTGGATGCCACATCCCTGGAAGTGTTCAAGGGCAGGTTGGATGGAGCTCTATGAAATGTGGTCTAGTGAAAGGTGTCCCTGTCCATGGCAGCAGGGGTACAACTAGATGAAATTTAAGGTTCTTTCCAATCCCCTGGAACCATTCTATGATTTTATGATTTAAAGGTGAAAGATACAGTTGGACTACAATTTTAAATCTTGAAAATTAAAAAAAAAAAAAAAGTGTGTCTTCTTGATAATTCAAACCTTTAGATTGTTTACAGACACAGACAGACATTGCATTATGGTGTTTATATTTAGTCATTATGTACAAAGAGTCTTCCCTAGAGAGACCTTCCTGAGTATTGACAGATCACAATCACAAGAACATTGGTTTGTCAACCGCTTCAGGCCAGACCATTTGATAGCTACTTAAACAATACTGTAAAATTTTACAGGCCCCTGGCAAGACTTTCTGTCATCATTTCAGAATAGCTGTATTCTCTGATTGTCTCATAAAGATTGCACTGGAAATGTCTTCCTATGCAAATTTTCTGGGGTGATTTTTCTTCTATCTCAACTATTTTTCTTTCTCTGCTTTTTTTTTCTTCCTTTGAATATGTGAAAGTTCATTTAATTTCTAATATTTCATTGGGATGTTTGATTACTCTAGAAATCAAACCAGTAAAACTGACGATGCAGGAAGACAGTTTACTTACACATCTAACTAGTTAGGCAAGAATGATGCTGTTGTTATGAAACTAAATACTGGTCTTGAATACTGTTTGTACACAGACTTTTTTCTTCCTATGATTTCATATAAACTTGAAAATGAGTTCTTTATGATCAATATTGGTTTTCATACCATAACTGTGAGGTACACGCATCCTTATAAAATGTATCATAGTGCATTCATGAATCCTGGAATGGATCACAGAATGAGAGTCCGTGATTCATCAAAACCACAAAAATAAAACCATGGAGGAAACAACTGGCTCTGAAGTGAACTGGCAAATACTGTTCTTTGTTTAGGAGTGTTAATTTGTCCAAATGTAAATGTCTTTGTATTTTATTTTAAGAAAGCCTTGCATAATGTGTACTGTGTATGACAGACATAGAACATGCTATTTTGAGAGAGCAGGGTGACCAGGTGATGGTTGCAAATAGATAGCTGAGACACATTTTTGTAATCTCATGCACAAACACAGGCACCTTTCAGAAACAGTTATTAATTTGGAATTCTTCAGATTTTAGTGCCAACTTGAGATAATTTTAAAAGACAATTATTTTCTGACCATGTGTCAGAAAAAAGCTGATTGAACAAATATTCAGGTTTCAAAGACTATATTTGATTAAATTATGAATTCTAAAAATGAAGTCTAAAACTAATCCAAGGTAATCAGGTTCTTTAGAAAATTCTGAATTTTTTTTTTACATACTTGAAATGAAAAAGTAAAATTAAACTACAAATACACAATATTCTTATTCACCTGAATCAAAGAATTGAAAATAGCAAAATGTTGTTGCAATGCCACAGAAATAGCTGCTAAAGAAATTGCTTATAACATTTAACTAGGAAAATAGAATATTTTGAAGATGTTAAATTTTTTCAGGAATAAAGATTAAGTTACAAAAAGAGATGTTTGTTCTTCTGTTGTTTTGGTTTTTTTTTCCTTAGCAATGAAAATTTACATGAAAGTATTCATACTACTACTGAATCTTGTTATTTTAAATATGTCTGATAAGTGATGGTGTCGCTGAAGTCCAAGACAAATGTGTAGATCATAGCAAAACACCAGAACCTATTGATTTAGTTAAAAGTAGGACTGGAAAATTTAACTATATCTAAGTCTCAGCTATTTCAGAAAGTGGTTCATGGTACTGGAAATTCATGGGTTGCTGTGCTTGGAAGCAATTTATCCTGCTATCTTACCAGTACAACACCATGCCAAAAGAAATTAGTTTTGATGAAAAAGACTTATTAGCAATGTGGTAGCACTGAGCTGTCACAACAATTTGTATTCAGCTTTTTACTGAGTGCCCTTATCCGGTACTGTACTGCATTATGTGAGCATCTGCTTGTAATCCACTCACTGTAGCAGGCATACCTTCAGAAACAAGGGAGTGTAAAAGATCAGTGAGATTTACAGGATCAAAATATGAGATCCTTAGAGCAATAAGAGCCAAAATATCAAGCTTGCTCTCTTGGGAAGATGTTCACAAAGTCCATGAATTCACTTAGAAAATTTCTAAACTGTTTGCAGCATGAGGTGCTTGGTTTACTCAGTGCTTCATACAGTCAAAATTAGCATAGATTCTCTCTTGTCTTAATCCCATATTCAGATGACTGATATCAAGAATAAAGTAGAAGTACATTTCACACAATTTTTGCCTCTTCAAGGAGTCTGTCATTAATCAGAAACATTACTGATGCAGTTCTCTTCATCCTTGCAATTGAAATGCTATACTGGTTTTCCAGGCGGCAAAGGAATAATGTTGATAATGCTTTGTTGTGCTTGTTGTGCATGCTCTGAACATGGAATTGACACTGAATCCTGTCAATCCAAGTCAGCCAAGATCATTTGTAGTATTTCTATTCTTCTGTGTTGTCAGCTTGTAGATTCAGAACCAATGTGTCCATGAAGGAGTTTAGAGAGTTCTGTATTTTCTGTACAACCCCTGTAAAGTTTCAAATATCCTGTTATTTTGAGTGTATGGGACTTCATAAAGGTGTTGAAAGGTGTTTACAGATTTCTTTTTTTTTTTTTTTTGCTTCAAAACATGTCTTAAATAGGGAATATGATTTGTAATGAATGTCAGTGCTGCATTATTTATCTGATTTTTTATTTATCAGATATAGTTATTAGTAGTAACCATGTGCAACCCTTTACAGAGCTAGGTTCTAGAAACCTTTATTTGCATTGGTAAGCTTGACACTGAACTCCCGATGATTAGTGGTGCTACTCATAGAATTATGATCCTTTAAAGGAGGGGAGCTGAAATTTTGAATTATAACACATGATATCCTTTTAAGAATTATATCAATATTTGTTTCAAGGATCGGATATTACAAAAATTCATGTTGATACAGTCCATTGAGTACGTACAACATGCTATAAAAATTTCATGGAGGAAAAAGCACATGTACAAAAATTTTTAAAATAGTCAAGTGCTTACAAACAAGATAAGGAGTATCTGTCATCTTATTGAGTCCAGCCTTTGACTGGACCTTGTCAACTAAACCATAGCACTAAGTGCCACATCCAGTCATTTATTGAATACCTCCAGGGATGGTGACTCCATCACCTTCCTGGGCAGTCAATTCCAATGTTTAACAACTCTTTCCATGAAGAAATTCCTCCTGTCCATTATGCATGACTCATTCCTAAAATCAAAGACTTTTGATCAATACAGAATTACAAATCAATGGCAACAGTGTAGGATTTTTTATTTTCACTGTGCCTCAGGGAAACATATTTTGGTGATGTAAATTTGAGGTTTAGCTGAAGTAAAACACAAAATGAGACATTTTAATATGAAAATCCGACCAAAGTGTAGTTGATTTTTTTAGATGAAAATATTTATTCATAAATGGAATGACTCAAAATGTTATTCTTTTATATATATATATCTAGTATGTTTTGCTTGAAAATTAAAAAAAACCAAACCAAACAAAACAAACAAAACAACCTGCAACATTGAAGTGTTACAGACAAATTACTTGTAAGTATTTATTGTGTCTTTATTTTTTAACTGCCCATCTGAGACATCATGCTGCCACCCATAACTCAAAAAGATTGTTCTGTTAGCTGTTAACATAAGCCTGTTGAATTTT